CGCCTACAGGGGACAGCACATTCCTCCATGAACAAGGACACAAGAGTTTAGGGCCTTGGTCGGAACACAGAAGCCCGGGAGCCGGTTTGGATTTCCTCAGGATAAAGTTAGCTCACTCTCAAGATGGCAGCGAGGGTCCAGGAAACGTGAGAGCCACCCCTGGGTGACATTTCCCACCAAGATGGATATCCAGCCTGCCTTCCCCTTCCTCCCCAGGCACAACCTTCCAGAATAGGACCAGCACCCAGTCTCCCTTATCCCTGTGCCTTTCAGGCACCGAGAACGAGTGTGGGTTTGGAGCCAGGAGAGTCCTGGAGCCGGGGAAGGACAGCTAATCAGAAGTGTCCTTTTCAGAAGTGATAGAAGGATGGTAGAAATGACACAGCCCCCAGGGTGTGACCCTTTTTGTTCGTTCTGGGTGGCCTGGTGTGCTCAGGGAGTGTTCATCCTGGCCTCGGCCACTTGTGTGGCATTGGGTCTGTGGCGGTAGGAATCCGCCCCGGGAAGGGCATGAGTGATGATAAGTTAGAGTGTATGCAGAGAGCATTGAGCCCAACAGAGTTTTAAAAAATGCTAGTGAAATTCTTCAGCTAATAGAGCAAAGACAAGGTTAATCTGTAAAACAGATAATAGTGCAGAGGCACTTGGAGCCCCAGCCCCTGCTCCCCACCCCTTTGCGCTACAGTCCAGGCATCTCTAGAGCCATCCACGGGACGCAGCTGAAACACCTCGATGCGATCCACCCCCCCTTTTGCAGAAGAGACATTGTTGGCCAGTGAGGTGACATGCTGTCGTGCCTAGACCTGGCCCACACAGCTGTCAGCGGCAGAGCTGGGACTGGAACTCAGAGCTCCTGCCTCTAACTGAGCCTAGGTTTACTTTCTGGCACAGCCAGAGCTACTCTCAAAGGAAATTGCTTTGTTATTTCCAGGTCTTTGACATAAGGTAGCTGAAGTGTCCTGCTTGGGGTCTGACACCCTATGCCACCCAAACAGGACATCAACAGCCTCTAGGGACCGCTCCTGGGGTTGGGGTGGGGGGTGGGGGGGCGTATGGCTTGTTTGCATTGTTAACTCCCTTAACTTCAGGAGGCTTAGTCCCAGAGAATCATCGTATGGACCGTAGTGAAGCCCGAATTAATGTTATTTCACTGTACGGCTGTGAGATTGTGCCCATCTCTTTAACCTAAGGACTCAGCGGAGCCTCGATGCCACCACCTCAAAAGGGGCAAGGGTAGTGCCTCTCTCTCTGGGGAGATCCCTCGGCTGCCAGCTTGCCACCTCCCGTCATGCTGTCCCACGGGAAGAAGTGCAGAGAACACAAGCTGATTATAAAAAGAGGAGTCTAGGGGCGCCTGGGTGGCTCAGTCGGTTGAGTGTCCGACTTCGGCTCAGGTCATAATATCACAGTCCATGGGTTCGAGCCCCACGTCAAGCTCTGTGCTGACAGCTCAGGGTCTGGAGCCTGCTTCAAATCCTGTCTCCCTCTCTCTCTGCCCCTACCCCACTAGGGCTCTGTCTCTCAAAAATAAATAAACATTAAAAAAATATAAAAACAAAAACAAAAATTAAAAGAGGAGTCTGTGGGCACCTTCTAGCCGAGATAAAACAAGCAGAAATGCTACAGCTGTGTTCACGGGACACTCACACAGCCAGCTGTGCAGAATTCTCTGTGTGCCAGAAAGCGAGATAAAATCCCAGCATCACTGGAGGCTGAGGCTGGTGCGTGGAGGTGACACGCGAGGCTCTTCCCCTCAGCCCTTGGGGACAGCTTGCTATTGCCATGCCACCTCTACAAAACAGTATATCAGGGTCACAGATGAAACTTCCAGATCCCAAATCCCTGTGGGAAGAAAGGCTCCCCAGGTTTTTTTGGCACAGTGACCACCATCTGCACAGATGACCTTTCTACACCTGGGCTGGTTATAACTTGAGATGTGGGAAATGTGGCACTTAGTGGACACTGTGATCTTAGCTCCCTGAGACACAGAGCCACCGATGTTCTGTGAGCAAGAGCGTGAGCTGCTGCTGGGCCGGGTTCAGGGCCCACTGGCCACCTCATGTGGGGGGTAGGGGGGAGCAGGGCCAGGGAGGAGTGTAGAAGCTGCAGGAATTGGCTGGGCCTTCCCGGACAGAGGCTGGGGAGAGACTGCACCCTGGGAAGGCTGGACTGCCTGAGGGACCCGCCCCACCTGGAGCTGAGGCTGGCTGAGGCTGAGATGCTCTCTGTGCCTTTCCTCCTTGTCTCTGAGCCGCCAGTTCTCTGCCAACAGCCTCTGCATCTCCACGACTCCCAAACTAGGGAAGACAGAGCCATCAGTCTTACCCTTTAGGCACCTCTGCCAGCTATCTCTTATCATCTCTAACTAATGTTCTGATTCTTTCCCCTTTTGTTGAACACCATGGGGGGGAGGGAGGGGGAGGGCTTGAGGGGAGGGGGAAAGCTGAACCTTTAGCTCAAGGGCACCTTGAGCTTCCCACCCCAGGAAGGGCAAGGCTGCTCAGGCAGTAGGGTTTGGAGGCATTTGCCCCGAGATGGGCCCTGAGCAGGCCCTGAGCAGAAGAGGTTTTACAGAACCCAGCTGGCCACAGCCGGTTCCATCTTGCCCATCCGTTATTTATGCGGCTCAGCTCGGGAGGCTTTCCAGGCCCCCTCCCCTTAGCTGCCCCAGCTAGGGCATCGATCGCCCTAATGGCAAGGCTCTGCAGTGGCAGGGCTGGGCTGCCCCCTCCCCAAGGCTTCCTGTGGCCGCTCATTAACTGAAGTCCAGAGACTCCATTTCACAAATGGGGAACCGGGGCCCAGGGGGCCCTGCTGGGAAGCGGGAGGGGACTAAGCTTAGCATCATGCCTCCCCCACCCCAAATGACTGTTAGTTTTTTCCAGAGCCCCAGGGGAGGGAGATTCTGTCCAGTGGCAGCCCCAGAATTCCTATCAAAGGAGGGAACAGAGGTGACAATCTCCCCAGAAGGGGGCTGGAGGACTTGACCTGAGCTGGCTTTGCAGAGCATGGACACTCTTCTGACAGCCTGGACGGTTTCTGAGTGGCTGTGGGAACTGCTGATGGAGAGTATCCAGTGGAGGTTGGGGCGGGGGGGTGGGGGGAGGGACAGCTAAAGCCTCCCAACCAAGCCTCCCTTGGCTCCACCACCCTGCTTTGAGCTGGGAGCCTTTGCCTCTAACCTCCCAGCCCCGGAACCAACTGTGGGTATAGGGCCTGGGTCCCCACCACTGTGGGTGAGGAGGGCTGGGAGACGTACCCTGGAGGTCATGGGCCCCTAGCATTTACTAGGGGTGCGATCAGGTGCAAGTGGCTGGCAAGAAGAGTCCTGGAGGACAAGACCCAGAAGCAGTGCAGCCGCCATACCCAATGGGGAAGGAGCGGTGGCTGCCCGGAGGCTGTCTGGAGCTGCTGAAGCAGGAGAGGGGAGCTTTGTGCTACTGGTACTTGAACTTAGAAGCAGTCTTCCCACCCCACCCACCCTACTAGGCTGTGGTGGTAGAGACAAGGCTGCTCCTGGCACTCAGGAAGTGTGTCTTAGACAGTACAGCCCTGGAAGCCGCTCATAAGATGCCCTCCACACTCCCCCCAGGCCTCCATGTAGGGGAGGAGACCTAAGTTTAACTCTGGAGGAACACAAGTTACCTATATTCCATTAAATCCCAGAGAGAAACCTGGGATGTAACAATGGTATATGAAACTAGCTATGGAAGACGTCAAACACCCTCCACAGCTCCTCTTGTTCTATGGTCTTGTAGAAATATTAAATTATTCATCCAGATAGAACACCAGAACCAACCACATCTCTGTGATCTGTGGTCCTGGAAACATCTAAGGCTCTGCTCCAGGACAAATTCATATGGGATGCGACAGAGAATCTAGATGCACTCCTAGTTTCCTGCCTGCAGGGAGAGGTTGGATCAGGCTTTGAGTTCTACAAACCATTCGAAGAGCAAATCTCAGAACTCAGATTGGCTTGAGGGTGGGTACAGTCCAGAAGGTAGCCCATTGCTCTTGCCACCAGCATTGGGAGCTTCCTGCAAGTTCAGGGCTGTGAGCCATTCATTCCCTCAGTACCTTCCAAGCCCATTTATAAGTGGAAAGTGGCTACTGACTGACATCTGGAGAGTCTCCTCTGAGTCGGAGACTGGGAAGCTAGTGCTGAAAGACAGGGCTGGGGCTGCTCTGACCCTCTCCACCCCGCCTTCTAGCAGATCAATCCGTGGGACAGGACCAATCCATCCCCTCCCCTCCCTACTCAGTCTCAGTGCATCTCTACCCCAGCTCATTCCCCCCGTTTCAGTTTCCTGTGCCTGAAGTAGTGGACACTCTCTACCCTGGGCCCAGATTTTTAAAAATTAGTTCAAGGGCCAGTTGGAGGGGTTGCTGAAATTATTACACCACCGGCAGGTACAGACCCTTCCTGGCCTTTCCTCTCCCCTGGCCTGAGTGGTTGGGAAGGGCCATAGGTGGAGCTAGCAATGCGTACTGGTGGGCACAGGTGAAGTAGGGGAGGGGGTAGGACACACGAGCCCCACCTCTAAGCCCGACTCTCATGCTTGGGAGAGGAGGGCTTTGGGAGACGATGGAATTGTTAGTGGGGATCCCAGGAGAATATCCTTGGCTGAAGATAGGGGCTTCTCCCTCTCTGGGAGAATCTAGCCCACCTTGACCCAGATGGGCTCCTACCATGGCCATGATCTCTTCCGCCCACACCCTACCTCCCCACCCGGGCTTAGACCCATTCCATGAAGAATTCCCCACCGCCCCCAGGCCAGGGGGGACCACGCCAGCTCGACCAGCATCCGACAGAATGGCCCCAGCCCCAGCTGAGATCCATATCTTCCAGGAAGAGCCAAGATAGAGGGAATGAAATAGGGCGAGGCCAAGGTCACAAAGGAAGTCAGAAGCAGGACGGTAATAGAGAGGCCGGTACGGGGTCCTTAGGCCCTGGGCTCCCTCCCCAGGCAGTCCTCACCCGGCGCGGGAGGCGCACTCACCGCCGGGACCACTTGGCCGACGGCCTCCCGAAGGGCCGCTTCCACAGCACACCGTAGAGCTGCACTTTGGTGCTGATGTCCAGCGCGTCCGAGTCCGTCTGCTCCAGAGACGGCGAGGGCGACACCGAGTTGGACTTGGACGTGAACATCCTGCCTCGGCAGGGCTGCCGCGGGCCCGGCCCGCCAACACCCCGGGGCCGGCAAGGACGCTGGGGCTCCGGGCGAGGGCGGGCGCGCGGCAGAAGGCTGCGGGGAGGCGGCGTCCGCCGGCGGCTCCAGGCTCCGTCGGGGCGCGGAGTTGCGGGGCCCGGGACCCGCCACCCGAAAGCGCGCGGGGTGGGGAGCGCGGCGCCGGCGCGGGAGCGCAGCCTGCCGCTCGGCCTCGAGATTGCGGCGGGCCCGGCGGGAACTCGGCGGGGAGGGCCGCTCAGCCTCCAGCAGGCAGCGCCTCCGCCGGCTCCCCGCGACAGCCCCAATTCTGGTGGCCCCGATTGGCTGGGAGGGGCAGGTGAGCTCGCTGGAGGCCGGCCGCGAGCGCCAATCAGGGCGGGCGCCGGCTGGAGGGCCGCGTTCCGTGCGTCCGGAAGGTCCCGGCGGGTCGCTCTGCCGGGGACGCGGCCGAGCCTCTCCCCACCCCCGTCCCTCGCGTCCGACTCTCCGCACCCCTCCCGCCCGCGTGCCCACCCCTGGTTTCCTCCGGCGCGCAGGCAGGGCCTACACAGAAACTGGGAACTCGTGTGCTTTCGAGGGGCTTGGACTCTCTCCTGGAGACGCCTACTCGATCTGGGTGGAGGAGAGCCTGGAGCAAGGATTTGGTGTCAGACCAGCGGGCTCGGAATCCCAACTCAGTCCTTCGGCAGCCCCGCGAGGCTGCGGGGAGCCTTGCTTCCCGCACCCGTGAAGCAGAGATGCCAGCGCCTCCTCGGGCCGAGGGGGGGCGCTGGCCAGGTGAGACTTCACTAAGTGCCCCAAGCGCCCGCCCCGAGAGCAGGCTCCCTGCCCTCCCCGCCCCCTCAGGTGGGGTTCGCTTGGCACCGCCGCCGGCTTGCCGGGATCAGACTCCTTTTCCCAGAACTTGGTTGTCTGCGTCGGCATTTGGCATTCAGTGCCAGTCCCGAGCGTCAGTGCAGCCTGTGCCCGTGATTTATCCGCGCGCCGGGCGGGCGCTCCAATCACAGCCGCTCCTTCTGGCTCCGCTCCGGGAGACCCACCCGCCTTCACGCCGAGGCGGACGGCTGCCCAGCCCAGGGGACCGCGGCCCGCCCGCCCCGCTCCGCAGGCGGGGGAGTGAGTTTGCGCAGTCGGCCCGCTGCGCCGCGGGGCGGTCGCCCTTCCCCAGGCCGAGGAGCCGCCTCCGCGCCCTGGAGAAGACCACTTTCCCCCCTCAGGGGGGCTCTGATTCCGCCTGTGTGAGAGAAAGAAGCCGGTTTGGAACGGAAGTTTGCGAATGGGTAGCCTGAGAGCCACGCCGGTTTATAGATGTACTTTAGTAACTTGCCCAGGTAAAAAAAAATTATCTTTCGTATTTGTCTGAGGAAGTGTCTTTGTTAACCGTATACGCAGAGTAACCACCAGCCAAAGCAAGATGCAGAACATTTTCCTCACTCCAGAAAGATCCCTCCTGCATCTTGCCGGGTCCACTGCCATCCCTCCCCGCCCCCCCCCCCCCCCCCCCAATGCAACTACTTTCTTTTGCCAACATTTCCACATCTTAAAAAAGTTTTTTTCTTGGGGCGCCTGGGTGGCTCAGTCGGTTGAGCGTCCGACTTCGGCTCAGGTCATGATCTCACGGTTCGTGGGTTCGAGCCCCGCGTCGGGCTCTGTGCTGACAGCCAGCTCAGAGCCTGGAGCCTGTTTCGGATTCGGTGTCTCCCTCTCTCTCTGACCCTCCCCTGCTCACGCTCTCTCTCTCTCTCTCTCTCTCTCTCAGAAATAAATAAAATGTTTAAAAAATTTTTTATCTTTACTGCCTAAAATGGTTTTCTCCACAGACCCTACTATTGTCCTTTGCTCAGCTTGCTGTGTTCATTTATTACCTGCCTGTTCCTCCCTGTAGGCATTTGAGTTTGTGACCCTCGCTAGATGCTCCCCAAGGCCTTCCCAGGTCTAACAACCCAGGAGTCCACTCTGGAGTTCCCAAGCGGAGGCAGCGCCTCCTGGTGCTCGCTGTCCGAAGGGGCCCGTCTGAATTCCCCGGGGCCCCTCATGGCTCACATACCCCTGCCCGACACCTCAGGTCCAGCCCTAATACAGCGCCCCGGGCCTGGGTCCACCAGGTGGGACGAGACAGGACCAGGAAGATGACGGAGCCCGTGGAATGTGCAGAGTGGACACCTCACACGCTTTGCGGCTCTTTTGGACACACGTGCTATTGCACGGAAAGTTTCCCACGCTGGGAGTCGTGCTTTTTCTCAGCCGGAATCAAGAAAACTTGTGTTGAAGCCTGTGGTGTGGAGTTCAGGGGTCAGGGGTACTAGGACAGGACTTCGAGATGCGGGTGACAGAGGAAGGAAAAAGCTTGCATGGGCATCGGTTTCTCGAGGGAAGGTGGTGCTAAGAGCACGTGACTTTGGGGGCGGGCTGCGGCTGGGGGTTGCGTTCCCCGCGTGGCCAGCAGTGTCCACACTGGCTGCAGTGGCCGTGGCGGGCAGGGGCACACACGGGGACAGCGGCAGCAAGCGCGCGGCTGCAGGAGCTAGCCCTCTCATCAGCGCGCTGCCTCCGCGTGGTTTTGGGGGGTGCGTTCCTGGTAGCTTTACGTCTGGGCAGGCCTGTTCTCCAGCCCTGCCAATATCCTTTTAACATATTAATTCCTTTTCTGCTTAATCAGGTCAGAACCAGCTTTGGCTGCTTGTGAAAGACTAGTGATGAGTTCATGGGCCCCAGGAGGGACAAAGGCAGAGTACCTGGAATCACTCTTAAAGGAAAGGCTTCCCAAGGAGAAGAACAGCGTGAGCCCAGACGGTTCCCGGGGAAAGATTCCGTGTCTTTAACGGAAGAAAAAGAACACAGGTTTCTTCATTGGTGAAGAGGGGCCAATCCCTGCCCATGCCCTCTACCCACAGGACACCCGAACAGACCTCAGCTAATGGTGGTTGAGACGGGGGTGGAATGACCTGAGGAACAGCCTGATGGCTCATTGATGGACTGCTAGACACGTCAAGTGGCTTCTGCTCCCCTCAACTAAGCAGCCCAGATAATACTACGTGAGCCTTGGGAGAAGCCTCTTCTGCTTCCATTACGTCCTCTGCTCTAGCTGGTGGGAAGGCTGAACGGCTGGCAGATCATTCTGAGGAAGACAGAACAAGCTGGTGACCATCCAGTGGCCCAGGCCAAGTGCTGGCCAGTGTTGCTCAATCTTATCAGGAACCGGGTGAGATCAGCCAAGGGCAGAAGCTCAGGGTCCTGAATGCCTCGCGTGCTCAGACCTAGAGCTGATGTTCCAAGTCGCTCGTGTGCATCTTACCCATTTCACTTAATTTGTGAAACGTCCCCGACAAGGTATGGATTCTTTTCTGTTTTCTGGGTGAGAAGAATGAAGTTTAAAAAGGTTGTCTGCCTAAGGTTACTACTCCCTGTCATTTCTGGAGCCTGAGAGGCCCCCAAATATGTGTAGAATGAGGGAAGTGACATGATCAAGATACTGGATTGGGTCTGGTTCCCAAGCCCCTACCAGTGACACTGCAGCACTCTGCCCCAGTAAGTGTAGTCTGGGAAGATGCTACACCTCCCTTTCAGCCTTTTCCTTTTTTCCTAGTAATTTCTCTCCATTGCCAACTTGCCTAAGGCTCAAAGTTCCTGCAGAAATGAAGACATGGTGCTACTTGGACCATAAAATTCCAGCCTCTCAACTGTGCTCAGGGACAGACTCTGAATAATGAACACACATTTCCTTTTTATTTCGGCTTTTACTTTATCCTCAGCTTTATTGAGATTATGATTGACATAAATATTTAGGTTGTACAACATGATTTTTGTTTAGTTAAAAAAATTTATGTTTATTTCTTGAGAGAGAGAGAAGCAGAGAGAGAGAAAAGCAGAGTGCGAGCAGGGGGAGGGGCAGAGAGAGAGGGAGACACAGAATTTAAAGCAGGCTCCAGGCTCCAAGCTGTCAGCACAGAGTCCAACACAGGGCTTGAATTCAGGAACCGTGAGATCATGACCTGAGCTGAAGTTTTTTTTTTTTTTATAAGTTTTTTAATGTTTTATTTATTTCTGAGAGAGAGAGAGAGACATAGTGAGCAGGGGAGGGTCAGAGAGAGAGGGAGACACAGAATCTGAAACAGCCTCCAGGCTCTGAGCTAGCTGTCAGCACAGAGCCTGACGCGGGGCTCGAGCCCATGAACCATGAGATCATGACCAGAGCCAAAGTCGGACGCTCAACCGACAGCCACCCAGGTGCCCCAACATGATTTTTATTATTATTATTATTATTTTAAAATATTTTTATGTATTTCTAGGAGAGAGAGAGAGAGAGACAGCGTGAGCAGGGGAGGGTCAGAGAGAATGGGAGATACAGACTCTGAAATAGGCTCCAGGCTCTGAGCTGGCAGTCAGCACAGAGCCCGACTCAGGGCTCGAACCCACGAACCGTGAGATCATGACCTAAGCGAAAGTTGGACGTTTAACCGACTAAGCCACCCAGGCGCCCCTTATTATTATTATTTTTATGTTCATTTAGTTTTGAGAGAGAGAGAGAGACAGAGTGTGAACAGGAGAGGGGCAGATAGAGAGAGAGGCACAGGATCTGAAGCAGGCTCCAGGCTCTGAGCTGTCAGCACAGAGCCCAGCTGATGCAGGGCTTGAACTCATGAACTGTGGGATCATGTCCTCAGCCAAAGTCGGACACTTAACCAACTGAGCCACCCAGGTGCCCCAACATGTTTTTTTAAAAGGTGTACAATACAATAATTTAATATATGTATGTATTGGAAAATGGTTACCATTTTGGGGATACAGCTATGGCTGTGAGATTACATTCCCCATGCAGTATTATTAACTATAGTCACCATGCTTGTACACTAGCTCTCCAGAACTTACTAATTTTATAACATAAAGTTTGTACCATTTGACCACTACCTTGCCCTTTCCCCCACTCCCAGTCCCCGATAACCGCCTTTCTACTCTCTGGTTCTATGAATTTGACTTT